ATGCTGAGACCCACACCCCAATTCCTACTCTGCCTGGTGGTTTGAACTGCAGAAGTGACTACCACCATCTGGCAACTGACTTCCACTGTGTGGCGGCCAACCTCTGTTCGTGCTATGTTGCAAAACTGCTGTAAAGGTCACAGAGAAAGCCTCTGGTTTAAAGCCCAGCTAGCTACATACTCAAAAAATATTGGAGAGACAGAATCCTGAAGTGAGATCCCCCCTCAGCTCAAAAAAAAATAATGTAAGAATTGATTGCGCGATAGCCACCTGAATCTACAGCTGCTTTATCCCAAATTAAATTGGCCTCCACTCGAACACCTGCTTTACAACCCAAATCTTTTTATGGTGCTACATCTGGGATGCTCAGCATTTATTTTGGACAGCTACATTCTTTAAAGTGAATATACCTCTGAATATCAGAAGCCAAACAGTAGTATTTACAGAATGCATGGTAAAACACCCAAATATTCATCTCAAATCGCTTCAGATGTTAATCTGGTTAATGAACTCCGTTCACACTTACCTTCACTCTGCTACAGGTATCAGTGGTATCAACTATCAACATGATCAAAAAGCCCAGCATGAGCAGGCTTCGTGCTTATCCACCAATGGCCCGGAGGCCACATGGACAACAATTCTCCAACTAGGGAACACAGGGGGATTCCTATTTTCATCCCATGTCCACATACCCTACTGTGACTACATCAGTTACAACAGCTATTTTTTCATCATGCCTGCACTCAGAGATTGCCCCATCCCTGGAAGTGTTCAAGGCCAGGTTGGACAGGGCTCTGAGCAACCTGGTCTAGTGGAAGGTGTCTTGGCCCGTGGCAGGGGTGTGGAACTAGATGATCTTTAAGGTCCCTTCCAACCCAAACCATCCTATGATTCTACAAGAGCCTCGCAGATACCATCACCAGTTACATTAGCAGAGTTCTTCAGAGTTGAGGCTCTTCAGAGTGCAGGATGAAGTCACACACACTCCCTACAGGTGCATCTAAAGAGTCATATGCCTTGCAGTCCTACAGGCCACAAGATAACACAGAACAACTAAAGCATGAATGGGTAACTGTAGCACGCCCTTTTCTTGCAAGCTTGAGGTGGAACATGAATTCTATCACTTCGATGCACACTGGCAACCCCTAAAGGACAGACATTCAACACACTCACGGCTGGAGGCTGGCTTTTCAGTCACCTACCTGTCACTTTGCGTCAAGTGTTCTGTAGTTGGATGTTAAGCAAGAGGCATTACCACTTTAAGATCCTGTTGCTGAGCGTAGGGCTTACCCGAGTGCAGAAAACTCGAAATTATTGCAGAGCTTCTGTACGCGCATGTGGTTGTGGAGTCACTAATCCCCATGATCACCATATACCCACGTGAGTATCTGTATGTACACCCATATGCATACGCACACACAGAGAAGCATTCCCGACCCTTGGGAACTCTATACTCTCAACCACACTATAGATTTACCTGAAGAAAAACATTTCTGTTATGGACAAACACATACCGTGCAGCTAAGTCATATGCAATGGTTGGGCATCCACTGCAAAGATACCAAACCAAGCTTGGTGTAGGTGTAACCGAAGTAAAACACTTCTTCTTCTAATGCTTTATTTCTAAAAACAGATTTCAACACCTGCATTTCTTTTGATGTTGTTACTACCATCCCCACTTTGCATTGTGGAGCTACAGTTTCCATTTCCAAAGTCTTTGCTAAGAAACATTTTGCCCTCTCCCATGGTAATGAAATAAAACGGGTCCGAAACGATCATTTACAACTCACCCTTACCCTGAAGTACCAAACCAGCAGTTCCTGCACGGGCTTTCAGTAATGGTACGTGTGCGTGCGTGCACACGCCTTGTATTTTAACATTTTAAAGATTACGCTAAAATCTTTCTCATCCCCAGAAATGTGCTTGCCGCACCTATGAGAAATAGACAGCAATGGTCACCGGACCACAGGATAATCACTTAAATAAAGAGTATTTTCATAATGTAAAAGTCTAGGGGATTTTTTCAAATCTGTTCAAATTGAAGCAGTGTCTGTCCTACACAAATATTAAAGCTTTCACTTTTTTGTAACAGGAGAGACTTGGGTGCTTCACTAAAATTTTGAATCCCACAATGTGTATAGGTGTACGCTGCAGACACTACGGGAATATAGCTCCAAGTTTCTCTAACCACCATAAAAAGGAAGCAATAATTAGTATATTAACAACTGGGTTTGAATAGAATATAAAAATTACTTACACCAGCTTCTCAAATTCACAGAAAGCCAACCAGAAAAGGAAGCGCATTAGAAAAAAAGTCATGTACCTATGAAGAGTTCAAACTGTAATTATATAATATGTAATTATCACAAAGATGTACTTACAGATAACACACACTTGTAATGCTAAACCTTTATTCTAGTGACTACAGAGGTACTTGTGGTAGTGTTTGTCTGAAGTGTTTGATGTTTCTCAGAAACCCCGCCACGTATTTTGAAAATGGTAGTTTTCTTCTCTGGGAGGAAGTCGGAGAGACGCACGGGTGTTCTAATAACTGGCCTTCCCTATTTAATTATTTTTTCGAATAGTAATGTAATTCCTCTTAAATTTTTATAAAAACTGCTTTTAAAAAACAAGCTCGAAAGATCATAAATGCATGAAAATCGCACACATCATGCTGAATAAATCTGGTTTAGAAATCGTTAATAGGCATACTGTGGCTCATTGACACTACCTGAACATTCTACGTACAAAGGGGACTTTCAGCACGCACTAAGGTGACCAGTCACCTGTACACAAAACCTCCATCATGACTAAAAGCGCTTTTTGCAACCAGCAGCAGTGACTCTATCTCGTTCTGCATGACAATGAGTAGTCTTTATATTTTAATGACAAACCTCTGAATTTTTTTCCCTTAAGATTCTAAAGCCAGATTCCAATGTGTTTAAATCTCCTCTTGGCAGTGCCCATTGAGCCAACATGTTCCGATACTGCATCAAGTCATATAATATGCAAAAGAGAGACATTGGTTATCTGATGAGTGGCCTTACTAACATTGACTACCCCTCCCCTTAACACTCAACTATTGCAATAATCTTTATGAATATAAATAACCAGCCATATACATTCCAGTCAGATTGAGGCCACCACACCGACTAAGAGTGTCTCAGGGATGCAAGAGAGACATCTGCATGAGATACCTTCTGACTGATCCTTGCAACGTGTTAAGGGAAAAATGCAAGTTTTTCTTAGACTTGACCTTAGTACTGAACCAAAAGCTAAAAACCAAAAAACCAAAACACACCAAACCCAAACCCTCAAACCAACAAACAAAAGAAACCAAAACAAAAAGTTTCTCAAGAAAAACAGACAAACCCTTGTTCCCAAAATAGACTACATTCATCGAATCGGAGAGCAATCCTTCTGTCATTAAAGCGTCACTCAAAGTGAAGAATAAAGCAGTTGCTTCAATGTTCTACTTTAAAATCCAATTCCTAAAATACTATATATTGGTAAATTACAGGCAAAATATATAGATATACATAGTCAAGATCCTTTTTAAAACGTTAATTTTGCTCATTTCTGTAATAGCTTCCTACATAATTTTCTTGATGTGAATCCACATCAGAAAAAAACATAAATCAAGCCAGAAGTGACCAGTAAGATGGAGAGACCAGAAGCTATCCTTACCAGCCTGTACAGGCAATTACATGAATGCTGTGAACAAGGAAAGTCACCTTTAAGGTGACAGCAATGCCCCAAGCAGCTACTTTATAATCATTAAACTTCCAATTCACATGCTCTTTAAATGAAAGTAATTTAATGTCATTTTCCTCACCCATTCCCGCACACCAAGCTTTACCTACCCCTTGTAGACTGTATCCTAGAAAGGCCAGACAATAGTGTGCAAAGCATCGTAACTGTAAGAACACTGACAGAGTAGGTTCGAGAATATTAAATGGGCAAGAGATAAAAATGCAAACAGATAATTTATGCAAAAATTAATGAGAGTAATTTCTGCTGGTTTAGATCTCTTCTATGACCTCAAAGCACTTACGTTTATTAATAAAACTTTGCAATTACCTCCACTGTAGTTCTACACTCATGCCCTGCACTGATTTACAGATATGGCAATTCTGAAAGGCATCGGCTCTGGTAAAGATTCGAAGTATTAAAGAAGTCTTCCCTGTTCTCACTTGCATCTTTCACTGCCTCCGAGTAAGCTAGTCAGACAGGCTGGCTGCTCTGAAAGAAAAATCAAGCAAATCACCTGAGTCAATCAGAAACCTATCAGCTATTTTGTTGTCATTGTTGCTGCTGCTCTGTTGCTGATGTTTGGGGTTTTTTAAAGAAAAGTATAGATCTACTGTTTTCCTATTGGCTAAAATACACAATACAGCTAGTTTTAGTCTGAAAATAAATTAAGTCAGAGTAGCCAAGAAATGCAACACATGCTTTCCTAATCCTATTTCTTCATGATTACATAGGCTCCCTGATAATTTCAGCAGAAGAAATATTAGGAAAGCAAGTGAGTTGGGTTTTTTTTTTCCCCTCTAATAAAGCAGCAGCAGGAGGAATAGGAAGGGAAGCAACCAAATCTCCACAAAACATCAGTAGTCCATAAATAACGGACTGCCTTATTTACAACAGAACAGCCAGTTATCTATAACGTGGTTATTTAGAATGTACCATAATCAATTATTTTAGAAAATTATTCTATCCAAATGCAGCTACATCATGCTTATTGGTTGCCTAGCAATAATTTAACCTCAAAGCTGGGATCAGAGCCTTTTACTAGCTGGGATAAAGCAATACCTTTTAAGAAAAAAACCCAAACACCACCTTAGTTTTATTGTTCATATTTACATATACAGAAGTTTTTTATATAAAAAACTTGGAAACAAAACCATCTGTACATATAATACAGCAATTAAAGTTTCCATGAATAAAATCTTAAAATTTGCAAGTTTATTTGAAAAATCATTATATTAAATAAAGCAGCATTAAAATCCAACAAATGCGGACGAGGATGAAGAGGAAAATAATGACCAGGTAACATTTGTATTCTGCCCTTCCCACATGTCTTTTATGCTAGTTGAATCTTTATTCTCAGTGTAACCTGAAATACCTCCAAATCCTGAGTTTATTTCACTTGTCTGAAGTAGTTCCAGTAGGGCCTGCACTGGTGAGCTACAAGAACTTCTCTTCTCTTCAGGAACAGACTGTCCATCTGTATACTTCACGCGTAACTCCATATTCTGTTTCCAGGTTTCTCTTTTATTTCTCCCCAAGTAAAGCTTCACTTTTCTGCGCAGCTTTCCAGACGGTGAACTATGTGCAGTGCTGGCAGCCAATTCATTGAGTTCTTTGTTTATAGCAGTATCAGATACCTCAGCCTCCAGAACTACATCGTGCTGCATCTGTTGATGATTATCACATAAATCACGATATTTCTTGACAAATGTAGGATTGGCATCTGTTTTTTTCAAACACTTCGCTGGTAGAACTACTGCATTATTTAATTTTCGTTTTGGCTGTGATAGGTTTTTGTCTTTTTCACTAAAATCTGTACCTTGAGTATGAGAATATGAAGTACACATGCCTTCCTGAAAACACTGGATGTTCTTTTTATTTACTTCTGGTTCCAGTATTTCTTTACTGAAGGGCTCATAAGCAAGAGACAAGTTCTCTATGCATGCTTTGTCATCTTTCTGAGGGGGTGGTTGTATGAAATTTGATGATACAACAGTCTCTTTTAAGTTCGTAGCACAGGAGCAATCAGTTTTAATATTTTCATCATTATTTCTGAACTTATTTTTTAGTTCCAAGGGTTGTGACAGGTGACAATAAAGAACTGAACAGACAGATCCAGAAACAGGTGTAGGTACTGGCACAGAATTTGGCTGTACTTCTGCAGGCTGGCGGTCCAGTTTGAGTGCCCGCATTGCTGTATCCTTCCACGAGTAACTTTTCAATGAAAGGCGTTGCTTTTTCAGTCGTTCTTTCAGCTCATCTGGTCTAGTTATCTTTCCAATAATAGGAGAAAAATATCCTGTACTACATTTTGTCCTACAATGAAATTGTTTAAAATTATTAACAAACACTTGAAAGAAACATGGGTAACTTAACTCCATATGCAACGGATTCTAGGAAAGCAACTGAACCAACAAAGCAATTTTTGTTTCCACATTTAAAGGAAGGATACTTAGGGTAGCAATGCAATATTTCTACAGGAACAGAGTATGTTATATTTAAGTTGATGTCTTCTTACCAGTTTCCACAGCTTATAAAACTGTTTTAAAAATACACAAAGTAAGCAGTCTAGTATTTCAGTAAATGTCAATTCACAGTGGTATTAAGAACAAAAGAAGCTAATGAATATAACACAATGAGTATAAATGTTTACAAATATTCTATGATATGTACACACAAAATTAGCATATTTATATATGCTTTTCTTGACATAGTATTTCAAACCTAACCATTCAGTATTTTTAAATCACAAAAGGCTCGCCTTCATTAGGATATCAGCTGTTTGACTCTATTTGCATTTCCTTTGATTTCACTAAGAATATCTTTATTTCTTCAATACTTTTTTTTTTTAAAGAAATGAGAAAATTATTCCTTATCTCCTGACTCATTTGCAAACAAATCAGAGCATCTTTAATTGAGTTACTGTTCCAAGTAATGAAGACAGCAGGGCCTACAGTCCAAGACATGAAACAAGTCTTTCTCTCCCATTTAAGCTTTTGAGCTATGAAGAAGGAAGGAAAATCTGCTTTCTTTGTCCAGCACAGGCAGGACAGAAGCTAAGAGGCTTAGAGTACAGATAAAAAGATCTAGATTAGACTAGGAAGTTTCTTCCACTGGTAAGGAGATCAGACTGACTGAGGAAGATATCATAGGCTACATCAGAAGTTTTTAGAAGTGAGATGTCCAGACATTGCTGTCGCTATGTGAGCAATAGTTTAGTACAGTAGATCTCGCTTTTCCGAAGCTTAAGGACAGGTAGGATAACCTTTCTCAATTCCTTTCAGTCTCATTTTCCTGTGATGCCATCTGCACTTTTCTTTTTTTTTTTTTCCTCATTTCTGCTTTCTAGAACTGATTTGCCAGGTACAACTGCACTGCAAATTTCAATGATTTATTTCAGACTGAAAAATATAAACTTACTCTGTACTAGATCCAGAATTTCAGAACTAAGTATCTTTATGTCCAATGTCTTAATTCACAGAGACTTTAAAATTTAGATGAAAAGGTTAACTTACCTTTTTATTTTTTTTGCATCATCCTTGTATTCAACAAACTCATAAACAAACTTTGAGATTATATCATCAACAACTTGATACTGTGTGCTTTGTGCAAAATTTCGGTGCTGTTCACTTTCAAGATGCTGGAATTAAAGAAAAAACATTAAATAAATCTACTACGGACATGAATATATGTCAACCATATGATATGGTGCAGTAGGTTTCATTAATTACCAGTGTCTCTGAGACATGAACTATTAATGCCTTCAACTACCATACATAGAGACAGCAATCAAGAATGAAAACCTACAAGGGAAAAAAATACCCACTTGCTGCTTTTTAGGAGATATATTCAGAAATCTTTTAAAATAAAAAATACATTAAACTAGCAAATATAAACCACTGTTGATACACACTTAAGAGACATGACTATGTCAAAGCATATACTTGACATTTCACATACTGTTTGCAGATCTTCGTATTTCTTCCCACAACATTCACAATATCCTCTCTTTTTTTTGTCCTTCTGAGGGAGCTGAACAGGAGTTCCACAGTCCTGGTCACTATTTATTTTGTTTCTGTTAACAGAAAAGATACATTAATGAGTCTCAAATATGGAGCTGAGCTCTGTACTTGCCTCTCCCAGTATGTTCATTCTGATTCCCTGAACTGGAAAAAAAAAATATCACAACCCTCGTTATTTCTTCTCAAACTATTTATATTATGTTAGTCAATGCTTAGGGAAAACAAAGAGAAAAATTATACATTAATTAAAAAAAAGATTTACTGCAACAAGACAGGCAAACCCACTGGAACTATATGTAAGCATAAAACATCCAGGTTAGTACAGATGTACTACCATCACTGACTCAGAATAAACAATGCAAAATCGCTAACCAAAGAAACCTCACTTGACAAATCAAAGGACATATTGAAATCTCTGTGCATAGCTGATAAAAGGAGGTTTTATAAAATCAATACTAGAAAAAAAAGAAAACAAGAATTCTTCTAACATCTCATCCACCGTCAGTATTTTTGATGCCAAGAAAACATGCAACAAAAACATCTGGTCTAACAGATAAACTCTCATTCTTTGTTAAAAGTAAAGAACAATTACATTTGTTGGTTATATGTAGCTTTTGAATATGCTGACCAAACGCCATTTTGTCCTGTTTTTCTAGGTACAGGCTAAGTGGAAATATGAGGAAATGAACCTCAAGTCCTTCCTGGAGATTCAAACACCAAGAGGTTTTCAATAGCTGCTCCATGACCTTCAGAGTCCTCGTCTAGGGAGAGCTACTGTTTGCTGCAATTCACTATTAAACCACCTAAGGATGATATGCTAGTGGTAAAACAAAACCATCAATCCTACTTCCCTTTTACTTCAGAGGAATAGTGCCATCTCCCTGTCCAGCCAAAAATCACTCTGACAGACTACCAAGTATCTGCATAGATGTACGCTCAGCACTTTACATCAAAAAACCTGTTCTGAAAAATGCTTAACTTACAAAGCCCAGCAATGTATTGCTCACATAAGCGTACACTGCTTTCAACAATCACTTTCAATCAACAAGTCTAAACTGGTAACACTTGTCCCAGCATTCAATGAGTTCCACAGGATAGGCTCCACCTAACTGTGTACTTTTACTTTGATACTAATCCTTTCACCGTCCCTCTTCAGAACTGTAAAAATCACAGAGAAACAGTAAAGCAGGATATAAGCAACAGCATTTCGCATCTCAAAATTGATAATGTCTGCAGGTCTTGCCTGATCCAGAAGTAAGTAGAATTGACAACTTAGCTTCAACAAACTTTTCTCCCAGATAAAGATAAAACAAGCAAGCACTCCCCTTTCTCTCTCCTGTAACTGACAATCCTCACATTTACCTGCTGAGTATGAAATAACCTCCCACCCAAATATCTCTTTGGCATCTGCCAACCTGAAAGATTAAATAGGAATATTCATTCAGATGTAACTCCTGAAGTTTTTAATATATCATACTCCTTAATCTATATAAATTAAAATAATATTGCCTTTTTTCTTTTTCTTTTTTTTTTTAAATGCTTTAAAAAGAATGGGCCTTTTTAGCCCCTTCTGAAGAGACGCTATCAGAAATTGCGTTGTTATTGCAAAGGTTACTGCTATTATAGTTGCTTTGCTTTTTCATACTGCTACATTCACTGCAATTAAAAAAAAGCAATCAATATAATAAAATAAAATTAATCATGGCAACATCAGCCGAAAACCTCCAGCAATATAATAATGGTGAAGCCTAGACAGAAGCTGAACAGGGGAGAAGCTATTTTATAATGAAAACGAGTATCAAGCCTAAGTCTTAGACCCTGAGGACACAAAAGCAGCAAAAGTTACTGGATACAGAAAGTTCCACATATAGCAAAGCTACCTTTTGCCTAAATTAACTTTAGTCTCTCACATGAATCAATCTTAGAAGACAATGAAAGAATCATGCTCCAAATATGCTATGTAAAGAAGTTCAAAACCATAGTTTGATTCACCAAAAAAACAGGTAATTAAGACTCCTACACAGTTTCAAATCATAAAATTGATTTACCAGAAGTTGTAACTGCATCCAAAGTGCTCAACAAATGCCAAAATATGTCATATAAACACTCGCTGCAAGACCAACTGCAATTCTACTGGGCAGTTGGCATCCACTTCTCATCCCTGAAGAGTTGAAGCAGTATTTGCAGAGTCTAATTTCTATAAATTAGACTTTATCAACAATGTGCACTCTTTATCAGCAGTGATTTTGCACTATGACTGAATATCACCACTGTAGAAATTTTTCACTGCCTACTTTAGCATTATACTGACAAATATCAAAAGAAGTCTTAAAAAATCCACTTCCTCTAAAATACTTACTGGATGGTATCCAAGATGAGGACAAAGAAGAAACCAGTGGCAGAAAGGAAAAAAATATCTTATGGTGACCCACAGTGATAGAAGGCTGCATTTTTTGATGTATGCATCTGTATGTCCAAAAAAAGGACTAAAGACAGGATAAAGAGGGTACAGAAAGATAGACAGACACCAACAGTTATAGCACAGCAAATACATCAGCTGAGACATAGCTATTAGTATTAAATAACACACGAAATTAGAAGCAGAGCAATTATTTTAGAAAACAGTTACTTTAGAATTATTTTAGAGAACCACCCTCTCCCTTATCCACACCTCAATAACAAGTTTTCAACAAACCTTTGCTTAGACTGAGTTTGCTTTTGACCAGAAGGATGCTTCTTATCCACCTCAAATGGACTATAAGGTTTTGGAACACAGTAGTTCAGAACTGGAAAACTGGGTAACTGCAGATAAAACGGTCGGTAGCGGCTGTATTAGACAAAACAAGTGCATTAGAACCATCAAAAATGGAAAAAAGGAGTTTATAGTGCAAATTACAATCAGGTCAAAAAACCTGAAAAGCGTTTCTCTCTCACAAGTAACATAGACAAAATGGTAAACAGATAAATATCCTAGAATAAGTCATTCCTTCCTTCCTATAAACTTGATACTTGCTCACAAATAGATTTGCCTTGAGTTTCCATAGCTGTCTTACACATTCCTTGGGATAGGGCTATTTATTGTGGAGAGTTGGGTAACCAATAAAACTAAGAACAGTTTGGAAGGTGGTGCGTCTGTGTTCCTGAGAAGTAGCTATAGCAGTTCCTAATATCCAATGCATTGAATTTGTTTTTCCATTTTACCATTTTCTTCCCTTTTGACAAATTTTAGCCAATTCACCATTCAAAATGTAAAAACTGACCTTTTCCTTTTCCTGTACAGCATTGTACTTAGAAAGGTATCAGAACTACCAACTGCACCATTTCTCTGAATGTATTAAAAATGTTTAAAACAGGGCATGCTGAAAGCCCACATACGGAATCATTTGACTGAAATGCCGATGCCAGAGTTCAGCCTGGTTTTTAACTCATGTTACTATTATAAACTACCCAGGCAGAAGAAAAAGAGCAAGTCTGCGTAATAAGTTCAGCTAAGCATCTCATTCTGCTTCTACACTGTTACTTACGTTGCATAAACATTTAAACATTAAAATTAACATTGTTTATGTTACATAAACATTTAAAGTGTTTCAGGTGTTTGTTACACAGCCACGTTCGGAAGTCAAATTCACACATATTTATATACGAATTTATTGTACTTACAACTCTGTCCAATTCTCTCCACTATCCTCATGTCCCTCAGATCTATTACACCAACCCAGTGTAAGACCAGGTTTAGAGCTCTTTTTTTAATTCAGGAAAATGTCAAAAGAAATCAGGTCAAGGAATTTGGAGCTTATAAACACCATCATAAAGCAACAGTTAGTTAAGAATATGAAGGTGCAAAACATGCTGTGCAGAACTATACTTTTTTATAATTCACTGTTCTCTCAACTTCTGACAAACTGGTATTTCCTTACACAACCAGGTCTGATAAGCAGATTAATAGCCGGTTTTTTAATTTATTTTTCTTTTAAAAGAAATGACTGAACAGGAAATGACACCTAATTTCAAGGGATGATTTTAACTAACAACTTCCCTTTCCTTACATCTAAACAGTCTCTACAGGAGATGAATGTTACTGAGTTGGGACTACAGGACTGGAATTTAGTACACAAACTTTTATTAGCCTTTTGGGCTATAGTATTTGCATCTAAGAAAAGAGGTGAAGGTTCAAAGCTTCCAAGTTTCCTTTTTATTCATATGGCCCTTGGCAGAAAGTAACCCAAAGAACCCACTCTCATGGTCTACAAACTGGAGCTGTGTATTAACTTTCCACTTCCATTACCCACTGCAAATATTCCCTACTGTACTACCACCTGCTCCATCTCATTCAGTGGCTAAACACAGATACCCACCCAGAGCACGCAGAGATGGAAATTCTGTATCTTATTATAAGAGGACAGTATGCCTGGCATCTAAAGTCAGGAAGCCAAAGGAAATCGAAATCCAAAGGCCACTTCCTCAAGTACATGTTCCTGAATTACTCAGTTTGAGAACCACATTACTGAATGCATGAAGAGAACACTTACCGACTTCTGTCTTCCACCTTGACAAATGGATTTTTCAGTCTACCTGGCTCAAGGGGGAGAAAAGGAAATTAAGAGAGAAATACTTTTCTTCATTCAGCAAGTTACTGCAGTAGCTGAATAGATAAGCAGATATTTAGAACTCATCAGGTACACGTTTTGACAAACTCAATTTCCATTAAGTTTTTCTACATGCTTTTCTTAGACATACACATTAGAATACAGCAGCACACTTGACCAGATGAGAACTGTAGTACATTTTTAAGCATTCAGAATGTAAGGCAAAACAAAAAAACTCTACAAATATTGAAATACTTACTTATTGACTTTGGAGCAGTAACTTGTTTTCCCTATTGAAAAAAAGAGAGAAAGTATAAAATCCCTGTGAATATTATTCTGCATTTTATTATAAAGATTTAGATGTAGGTAATTTTAAGGTATGAAGGTCTCCCTGTATTAATCATGACTTTGCACGCAGTCGCGATAAATTTTGCAAGAAACAAAGCTCATTAGCACTTCAGAAATGTGGTGACATGTTTCCTAACGAAATACTTATTTCTACACCACACAAAAAGTGATCTCCTTGAGACATTTATTTTTCCTAAAACCAACAAAAAACCCCACAGAGATAATTTATTCGTTTTCTCTCTCTCCTCCCCCAAAATACCTTGCCATGGTTGAAAAGTTAATCTTAAGTACGAATAACACTTATACAACACTTTATAAATGCTAATTAACTACAAGCTATAAAATGCCACCAAAACCTGCAGGTAATTCTATTAAAACAATTCTCATTTGAGTGGATTAACACAGGTTGGGGGGTTTTTTATCAATGAAGATTAAAATTAGAAGGAGTATTTGTCTTCAAAAAAGAGTGAAGTCTACATTCAAGCATCAGCTGTTAGCTGTAATTGATTCTGGTAAAGGCACAAACTCGTATTTCATACTACTTGTAAAAAAAACCCACCTTGCTATCCATGAACACTGATACATTTATGATTTAGCAGATGGCCTCAATAATTAGCCAATAATGCATTCTAAAATGACAAAACATACACTAGATGGTATGTTTCCACTTTCTGATCACAGACCCCTGCCTAAACTACATAATTGTACAACATCACGTTTAATTTAAATTACACAGCAACTGCAGATGGAGCACACAAGCAGCTAAAACAGTTTCAGTGTCTCACTGTATCATACGCTTAATTCTGGAGAAATCAGGATTTTCACATGTCAACTGCACACTATTGGCAGAATAGCTCAAAGATGCTTTATGCTAGTTCTTTAAAAGACTAGGAAGGAAAAGATGCAGAGTTGAGCAACTGACACAGATCCCCTAGAGACAGCTTCTTCAGCAAATGTAATTGTGATTCTTCAAAATGGTCCATCAAAAGGAAGGGGTTTCTAACCACTGTGTCATAGGGAAAATTATACAAGGCAACTTAACTACAACCTACACCATACTACAACCAAGCCACAATTATTTTTTTTTTTTAATTATTTTTGAGGCAGGCAGAATGGAAGTTTCTGACAGTTCAGTACTTCTGATTTGTAGATATCCTTTGCAAGAGCAAAGGTCTACACATTATTTAATCAATGCTGCTATGGAATTTATTTTTAATAATGCTGAAATGTATAGCTAATACTTCCTGGTTTTCAAAGATGGTTTTAAAATCAATTCATAAAACATACTGGTCTGTGGAAAACTGAACATGAGCAAGACTTTATCAAAATAAAACCTGTAAGCTTCACAGCAGTTAGTATTTGCTACACCTGTGTGTTCTCAGTTAATGAAACAAATGGCATTTTCACAAATGGCAAAGAACCACTTACCACATCTTTAAAAGAACTGCCTGCTCTTTTGATTAGGTAGAGCTCCTTTTTCTTTTGTTCAATGTAATTCTTAACATCTGGCAAAAAGAGGGAGAATTATACTCAGTAATTTATTCAAATAACATTTGAAGTAATTTTTCATTTTTAATAGTTTGAATTCAACAAAAGAATAATTAAATAAATGTTACAAGTCCAAGTTAGGCTTCATCAAAAAAAAATATTTACCATCAATATGAAGTATCTTCACTCCCCAACTCAAAGCATTGGACAGTATACTACCAGAGGGGATTAAGTCCTGCAAATGATGAACTGTATTAATAATTTTAAGCAATATATGGTAAGTCATGTAAAACAATTACAAATATATTACAACATGTAATATGAAACCTGAGATCAAAGTGCAGACGCTTATCTCCTTGGCAAAAGACTACTGCTCTCCTCAACTGACTTTTCCATCTCCGTGTCACAGCACTTCACCATCAAAAGGTACTTCACCTTTCATAAAGCCAACACTGTTTTCTACTGTCACATTTTATAGTAAGATTTGAAGACATTGAATTTATATATTCACTTTACCTTCACAAGCACCTCTCAAATGGTAGCTATATTAGCAATCCTGATAAATTGTAACACTGGTCATAAGATTTTCAGTTCTTCAGGAAGTACCCAGAAAGCATGACATGACAATTTTATTTAAGACAATCCCTCAATTTCTGCCTGTGTTCCATGAAGGGCTTCTCTCTTAGACCGCTACGACCACTCTTACTACTGCTTGTTTTCTAGAAGACGAAAACCAAAGTTTCTCAAGTACGAATTCGTTGATTACTTGGCTTACCTGCTCTTTGATTGCTTTTTCAACTAAGGATTTTCCTCTGCTCATACGTACCTATATTAAAAGAGAAACACATTTGTAGCAAGTTAGAACTGATTTCAAAAAACAAGGTAAGACAATTTACACTGTTGCTAACAACTACGTATTTTAGCTACGATAGTCTCCTTTTGTTCACTGTACTGCTATTTTTCATTAATTTGCATATTCCCCACAAGGTTACATTTGAGACAGTCAGGGTGGGGGGAGGAAGGGGAGAAGAAAACCCCCAAACCCCAACAAGTAATCATTTTCAGCTAAAGCAGGTCACTGCATAGCTGAAGCAATGTTAGTGCTGCAACAACATAGATGGTGGGAATAAGAAGCCAGTGGCACAGGCCAAAAGATGAGGTTTCATCAGCTGGACTTGTGCCAAATTAAGCTAACAGTTATGAATATAATCATAGCCTCCGTCTTATCCCCATCTTTTCTTTCACCAGTGCATCTCCTTTTGTACTGTATGCCGTTTATTCATAACGAGCATGCCTTTACCTACTCCAGGTTATTTGCAAAATGAGGTGATCTCACCTATGCAATGCAAAGACTAGCCCACAGACTGTCTCACGGTCATGTTGCTAAGTACCATGCATACAGCACAGCCAATTGTTTCCAACTCTATCTTGAAAGGATGCAAGACATGCCCACGTAAGAAACTTCAGTAAACCTGCACAAATTCAGATACTGACTGTTGCAATTAACGTGATCCTCTACGAAAGAGCTCAGAAAGACTTAATATTCATAATGATCAATTTTAATTATTTCCTTAAACTACTATCAAAGAGTGCTTCTGTATATATCAGCATTAACAACATCACAGCAGCCAGATATTAATAGGCTGTGTTGCTAAAGAGACAGGAAACACTGGATGCCATCAGAAGCCTATCTATATTGAACCAGCTGTCAAACATAACAATGTCAATGTTTAATTAGAGTCAGGCATGCCATATGAGAACAGATTTTACTGTAGTCTGCTTATTTGCAGAAAAGGCTTTTTTAAATTAGTTTTTGAAATTAGTTTGAGTTAAGTTTAACAAATTAGCCTGAACTAGTTTAAAAGTACATTTGACCTGTTAAAAAAAAAATTATTCACCCAAGGAACTGTTGCCATCTTTAGGAAACAAAATAGGAGAAAAATTGTAAAAGCATATCCCATAGGTTGTACCTGATTTGCAGTATGATTACTAAGAAACTTACTGTATCTACTACCTTAAATGAACTTCCATCATGTCGATCTTTTGGGTTGCTAGGAAGAGGTGAACTATTTCCTCCGTTACGTGCAGATTCTGGGCTAGGAACAGGAGAAATCTGACCAAGAGTTGGTGCAAATTTTGCCTCCTTTTTATTAGACACCAGATAGCTGATATCTTTACTAAGAAAACTCTCCACTCTCTAAATGTAAAGACATAAAGCAAGTAATTATTTCAGGACAATAAATCAGTGACTCAATTTTACATTGCATACTTTAAAGAAAAGCAACAAAACTAGAACGATGAAGTTCAAAAGCACTGAATTAATGACATGATGCTTTCTAAAGATCTGGATGACAATTACAACTGAGCTGTAGTAGCAGCTTACCAGAAGAATTCAAACACTGCATTGAGAAATTACAGACTAATTCAAGGAAAATAACATTTATGTAATGTTACGTAACCGAAATTACATGAAGGTGTTCAGCTAAACCTAAAGGTACATGTATGCAAATATAACTTACAGTTTGCAAGAAACTATAAATTAATTCAGCAGAAAAATTAAGATTTCAGGATAGTGACCATGTTTCACACCTACAGTATTCATAACGCTTCTCAACAGTGTAGATGATGTAAGATGATTCATATTATTTTCATACTCAGCAAGACAAAATATGTGGTTACCCTATGCCCATTCTCTTCAATTTTGCTCCTTCAGTCTTTCGCAACCAATTGTTGCATGATTATCAGCTCTATTTGCCTTGTTATTTCTTGCCAGCTTATGTAGTTTAAAATACTTCCCTCCTCTCCACTAATGAGTATGGAACAAATTGCACAGGCAGCAAGCTTGAAACTGTGCCTTCCAATTCTGCTCTACGTACCTTCTACAGAAACGGGACATACAGAGAGAAGCGCTTTTGAGCGCACTCCACAGAAGTAACAACGGAACTGCATGTGGTAGTTGATCTTGAGGGTGCTGGGCACCTCAGATTTAGGCATATACTCCTCAGAATGAAACAGAAAAAGCTCCTTTTCATTCTTTGATTTGCAACCTTACCTTTCACATATGAATTGCTAAAATTCTGTTTTAGAGAGAAAGACAACAGATAGCGTGCGCTCATTTAATGCTAAATATAAAGAGATGCATTTAACTGGAAACCATGTTATTGCTATTCCTTGCCTCTAATGTAATTTCAGACAGTATCTTGATTTACAAGCGTCAGTTTCATAAAACTGCCCAGGTTCCTCAGAGGTCAAAGAAGTATTGCCAAAGCAACATTCAGAACAGCTAGCAATTTAAGCAGATCCCTTTTTGCTTCTGTGGTTAATGGGTGTTTAATACTTTAACTGCCAAGATTCCTCTACACTGATTCAAAGTATTCAACTTTAAAGTGGACTAAGCAATTGCATTGCTTGTGTGTTACTATGATATCCTGTACTTGCTTGTATCAAAGCATTTCTTCCATACAGAAGAGAGAATTAGGGGAAAATAACAGCATTAAGATGCTTATAAAATTTACGATTTAAATAAGAGTATTTAAAAATACTCATTAACATATTCTGTGCAGAAAGTACTTACTGAAGTTATTGACTTTTAGTAAGCATATGCAAAACACTTCCTCTAATCTTTCAGGTTCAGCTGAACAACTTTAGTTGTAACATGTAAATGTGTCAATACAGTCAGAAGCAGCAGAAAAAAATCACCTCAAACAATGAAACTTATTAAACTTGAACAAAGTTTTAAGCAAATGAATCATCAACTGAAAATAAACCTTTATTATAAACACTTGTTACAATTAGAAAAGCAGCTTCTAGCAAAAAACCCACAAAATAATTTGTTAAGCTAATTGTATTAAACATTAAGACAAACATAAAAAAAATCCCATCACATATAAAATTCAAATAATATTAAAAAGCAGTCACAAAGAACATGGAAAAGGTATTCCACATGCGCAGGTTTTCTTCTAGTTTCATAAAGGTCTCTACTCATTAACTTACCCCTCCCAGTTCTTTGAGGTCCTTTCCTATCTTTTCAGAGATCACATTAGATGGAATATCGAGGTAAAACACCTTTCCAGTGAGTGGCTTGTATTTAAGTTTCTCTAGTTTTCCTGTATCTTTTTTCACATTCTTCAGAGAAGATCTTATCTTTTCTGTTTTTGCTTGCATTCCATCTGCTGCAAAAAGAAAAGGGCATTTAAATAGGACTGTGGTTTATGAACTGTGTTTATCTTTTTCTTTTAAAAAAGGAAGATTCCTAAATTATGGAAACGGACAAGGCAAGCTGCCATGCAATATAGGACTTTTTAAAAATAGCTACATGTTAAACATGTCAAAACCTGAGACATTAGTAAGAACACCACACATAGATAGCCCTTAAAAGTGTATCCTAAAAAGGGCTTTTTATTTCAGTTGCTATACAGGGCCATCAATTTTCTCTCCCTGCCACAGTACATACATTAGTTTTATGGTCACTGAGAATCACCAGGACACCATTTTAAAACAGTATCTGTCTGTCTCTCATTCATCTGAAGCAAAAAGGATTCATACAGACTTACTCAAACAAAAATCGGTCAGAAGTAACTGAAACACCAAAAAATACAAGACCTGGATCCTACTATTTCTCTGAACTATAAGCACCCACCTGAGATGCAGGAAAACTATGCTTAAAGTGCAGAACCATTCTAGTTATAACCACTCTTTCTGCCTCTGTGAATTCTACTCTAGAACTAAGAAAGTTAGGTTAGAGTTCTATGAGAACGTGAGTTCAATACTGAGTAGCAATCAAAAAAAGAAAAAATAGAAATTGCTAAGAAACATAAAATAAACTGGATAATTTTATTATGCCACTTCATGAATGCAGGACTCTGACACATCTTAAATACAGCCTGCAAAAAGTAACAAGGATGATCAAGGGCATGAAGAATGACCTTGTAGATTAAGACCTTCTCAATCTGTAAAGTGAATTATTTAATAGATATACAAAATCAAGAACAGCAGAGAGAGAATAACTAAACAGCCTATTCCAGCAGAAGAGCTATGGGACACCAAACAAAACTGGGAGTCAGGTACAAAATGAAGAACAGGAATTGATTCTCTAAGCAATAGGGCAAGCCTGCATAGCTTGCTGCCAAAGGCGGCTGTCGATACTAACATGTGATTTCCAGGGGAGGCTGCACAAGTATGAGGAAGAAGAACGCTCTGAGGGGTCCTACATGCAACTCATGAAGTCCCTGTAGCTATACATAGCTGGAAACTAGAATATTAGTAGGTGAAAAAAATTATGCCTTCTCTGTTCTTACATACTTCCACAGGAATCCATTTACAACCAATGGCAGAGACAGAATCATCCAAGTCTTGCACATCATTACTTTTACATTGTCTTTTCTTCCCCACTGACTGACCCCCTGCTCCCAGTTGCTTTCTCTTCTGGAAAAGCTCAAAACAGACAATGAGGGCTGCTGCAGGAAGTGATCAGGCCTCTTCTGGAGACAAAAAGCCAACATGCAAAACAGGCCCCCTGTTATGCATTGTCTCCCTCTTAGAAGGGAGAGGGAGCAGAACCACCACTCTGGCTGCAGGATTCGGTAAGCAATGGTTATGAACACATGTAAGTGAAGCAGGAACAGCAGTCAGCTTTGTAGAATCTAGAAGCGCAAAAGAATTAAGAGAAATAGGAAAATGGGGAGGCTTAGGGTAGTTTAACTGATTAAGAATCTAAACAGAAAAGACAGATGATATGCAGGTGTGAAATTCCGTAGATGACCAGGGATCAAATATGGTGTTATATCCAGCACACACATGTGATGGCCCAGGCAGCTCAAAGATTAACACACTAAATACCGGAATTAACATTGGGAAACACGTACCAAACTTCCTAGGGATAACCAAAAGTTTGGAGTGAGTTATCAGTACTGCAACAACAGTAAAGAATCTCTCTCATAAAGCGACTGCATTTTAATACCCTGGGCCTAACGTGCTGAGGAGGCCTTTCCATGCACGCTCCTGATACCAGCAAGGATCAGCCTGGGTGGTGCAGTTTGCACGGCAGGGCCTAGCGAATTTCAACATAGCCTCTAGCGTGCTTGCACCGAAAGCATCCTCTAAAGCAGAACAAGCTAGCTGCCGTCTCAGTTACAGGCTTGCACGTTTAATTCCCCAAACCACGCAAAGGTTATTTCAGCTGCCCACCCCTACCGGAGCCAGCCCGAGGCGTGCTTACCCGCTAGCCGGACCAGAGGCAAGAGGCCCAAACCCAGCACCAGGCTGTCCGCGGGGCTCACAACGGGAGCCAGGAAGGC